TGGTTAACGCTGTTACAGAAAGAGATATGCTTAACAAATATATAACGCAATTAGTTTGAATTGCCTATATTGCATGAGGTCGAATATACACCTTGTTATATACCTTGACAGATGAGGTTTATTTACGATTTAAATATCTTTAAAAAGAAATTCCTATAAAAAAAATTGAAGAATTTTAACTTGCTCATTTTCCAAAAAATGTTTTGTAGTTATTAAGTGTTTCTTCTTGAAATTATCTCATATTCGAGGTTCGGGTGCTAGAATTTTAGTGCTTTGATGTGCTTGTTAAAAGCCGGGCACACAGCGCGTCGGGAGGCGGCCGTACGAGCATGGGCTACGGATGCATCCTCGCTCTCTGTAGTGAGTTCCTTGATGACGCGACACCATCTGCTGACTATTGCTGATAAAAGCGATTGTGCGAGCGTCGTCGCGTTGCGTTCTCTATGATGAAATCACGTCGGCCGACGACAGTCGACTCATGTGTGCCCGGCATTATTCGCATTTGTGTCCACTCTGGTTTTATATTCAAAATTGAGTTCCGCCTATCTATTGATAAATTCATCAAAACGCTCCACACTGCAGGGTTACTGTCATTTATTATATGGAAGTTGTATCGTAACTCAAACACCCAATTTATAACTTATTAATGATGGTGTAGATCATTTGATAATTTTCAGCATTTTTTTTATAAAGTGGACTAATAATCTAGAGTGTGGTGGTAAAAAAAAAAGGATGTCGGCACAGTACTGGTTTATTAATGATTACAACATTATTATGTTTTAGATTTTGTTTTCTTAATTCTAACAGTTTGATAAAGAATATATAGGCATAGTCCATTAGCTCATATACTCACAAAGTGTTTCTTCTAAAATCATTGTATTGTTTAGTTTAAAATTTATACAAATGTTTCTAGCCTATGCATTGAAGGTCTGTGTGCCAACAACAATTTGGTAACTTCCTTATTGTTCTATGGTATTTCGGTTTTATATTATATGAAATATACTTCACTGAGTACCATCTCTCGAGACTATATTATTTTTGCACCAATTCCTAACGTCTTTAAAATTAGCATTTAACAACAGCGACTAAATTGATTGTATGATTGAGCGATTAATCGAATTCCTTCAAATAATCAATGGTCATGCGTGCGAAGTGGTATCCTACTTAACGAAGACGACCAGACGAACAGAAAGCTTGGTGATACTCGACAAAACGCAATACACGCCAGCGTAATCAAGGTTACATCGGTTTGCGGCCGGCAGTATGGGTTTTTCGTTAAAAAAATGTTTTCATGCAGTTTTTTTTTTAAATTCTGTTAGCTTACAATTATTGTTTTACTTTATGTCGGTAAATATTATAACTATTATTTTCTGAAATTTAATTATATTAACGAAAATGTTGTTGCGAAACTGACCAATCGGCAATGTTTATTTATTTATTTATTTATTTATTTTTTTTTTTTGCATTCGTGGTGCAAATTAAGGCACTCTGCTTTACGTTAATTTTCGTTGTCATATTTTACGAACCAGTCGAATGAAAATAAAACTCAACGAAAAATCGTTGTCAACGAAACAAACCAGTCGAATACGGCCAATATCAGTAACATTTATTCATCCCACATGGGGCAATTATGAATTTACACGAAAGCTAACTAGGGAAAGTCCGAATACTACTAATAGATACATGTGTGGTCCTTATAGTGGCAAATTGGGCAACACGCGAAGATACCGTAAAACCTCGAATTGAAGCCCTGTGGGCTTAATATCGAGATGAAGCCCATCTCGAATTGAAGCCCCCTCTTTAGATTTATGTTACATTGTCCGTAATTATTTTTTCTAGTACAAATTCGTAAAATCTACTGTACTCTTTTTGAAAAGAAGCCCCCCCCCACCCTCTTTACTTAGCAAAAGTAGCCTCGAAAAGAAGCCAATCTAAAGTTCGCAATAAAAAAAGAAGCCCAGGGAGTCAATTCGACGTTTTACGGTATGCTACTACTGAAAAATGTACTACATGCGCATGACCAATGTTGAACGCTGGACAAACAGCAGCAGATGTCTTGAAACTTGCATCAGGGACTGATGCTTGCATAAAGGATGTCACCTACAAGTTGGACAGCGATTATATTTGCTATTGTGCATGTGTTGTGTGCCAAAATAATAAAAATAAATAATTAAATCAGCCCTCCAGATGAAAGGCAAGGAGAGCAGCGATTGGAATTGGACCAGACGCCAAAGATCGGGAAGAATTTCCATGGTTCAACTAGCGCACAGTGGCTACTAGCGAGAAGGTAACTGCAAGAAGTCAGCGAACTAGAGGGCGTCCTTCAAAAGAACGTTAAAAGGCGTTAGTATCGAACGTGCTGCGTGTAGAAATTCTAATAGGGTGCATCTATCTCGTGGAGCAAAGATCGTGCGCTATACGATCTTTGGTGGTAGCAAAGAGTACAAATAGAACAAGAGAACAAAGTCCCGTTCGTAAAAACGTCATGCCTGTGTAGGAC